ACAAAAATAGACTCAAAATGGATGAAAAACCTCAGTGTCAGACAGGAATCCATCAATATCCTTGAGGAGAACACAGACAGCAACCTCTTCAACCTCAGCTGCAACAACTTCTTCCTAGAAATATCACCAAAGGCAAGGGAAGCAAAGGCAAAAATGAACTATTGGGACTTCATCAAGATCAAAAGCTTTTGTACAGCAATGGAAATAGTCAACAAAACCAAAAGACAACTGACAGAATAGGAGAAGATATTTGCAAATGACCTATCAAATAAAGGGCTAGTATCCAAAATCTATAAAGAGCTTAACAAACTCAACACCCAAAGAACAAATAATCCAATCAAGAAATGGGCAGAAGACATGAACAGACATTTCTGCAAAGAAGACATCCAAATGGCCAATAGACACATGAAAAAGTGCTCCACATCACTCGGCGTCAGGGAAATACAAATCAAAACCACAGTGAGATATCACCTCACACCAGTCAGAATGGCTAAAATGAACAAGTCAGGAAATGACAGATGTTGATGAGGATGTAAAGAAAGGGGAAGCCTCCTACACTTTGGTGGGAATGCAAGCTACTGAAGACACTCTGGAAATCAGTATGGAGTTTCCTCAAAAAGTTGAAAATAGAGCTACCCTATGACTAAGCAATCATACTACTGGGAATTTACCCTAAAGATACAAATGTGGTGATCCGAAGGGCCATGTGCACTGGAATGTTTATAGCAGCAATGTCCACAATAGCCAGACTATGGAAAGAGCCTAGATATCCATCAACAGGTGAATGGAATACTATGGAATACTATGTAGCCATCAAAAAACCAAAATCTTGCCATTAGCAACCACATGGATGGAACTAGAGGGTATTATGGTAAGTGAAATAAGTCAATCAGAGTAAGACAATGATCATATGCTCTCTCTGATATGAGGTATTTGAGAGGAAGGGCAGGGGGCCATGAGGGGAAGGGAGGGAAAAAAATGAAACAAGATAGGACCCGGGAGGGAGACAAACCATAAGAGACTCTTAATCAGAGGAAACAAACTGAGGGTTGCTGGGGGGTGGGAGAGAGAGATAGGGTAGCTGGGTTATGGACATTGAGGAAGGTATGTGCTATGGTGAGTGCTGTGAATTGTGTAAGACTGATGATTCATAGACCTGTATCCCTGAAGCAAATAATACATTATAGGTTAATTTTTAAAAGTAAATAAATAAATAAAAACAAAACCTAAAAAACACCTTTGCCAGAAAAAAAAAAAAAGCTTCCAGAAAGGAAACACAATCAAATATAAAGGACTAAATACCAGAAAGACTTTGGACTTCTCAACAACAGTGGAAGAGAAATGGTTTAAAATTCTAGGAAGCCGATCTGTCAAGAAGATATGCAGAATTAGGACATTTTCAGAAGCACCATGAAAAAATTTATATGTCTCTGGTATGCCTCCAAAAGGAGCTACCATCAAAAGAGTCAATATTAGAAGATGAGGAAAGAGTGAGAATGGAAAAAAGGGGTGATTATTGGATCTGGAACCTTGTGATCCCATGTAGGAGAGGCATTGGAAGGAATGCCAGGAGGTTAGCAGGGTGGACAGTAAGCCCTCTCCATGCTCTAGTGGGGCTCCAGAGGGATGAGAGCAACGGATAATTTACATGATGCTTTTGATCATGGGTTACACGTTCCTTGGACCCTTCAGGAAGAATTAAAGAGTGGTACAAAATGATAACTAAACCAATAATCAAAGTGAGACAAATATTAACTTCTTGACAATCTAAATATGATATAAGAAAGGGGATATAGTTGTTGGCTCAGGGGTGGGCATTTCCATAATGCTAATCATATAGTGTTAATAATGAATTTTCTAAATGTAGATTGAATTAAAAAATTACGATATCAAATTAGTGGTAGTTGGGAGTGAGGAGATATGAGATGGGGTATGTACAGCAGATAAATCTTCATCTCTCAGAACAGAAAAACAACGGCTACTGTCTGAAACTGATGAGTCAGGAAGCAGCAGTATGTTTATATTCCTTGACCAGGAAGGCCGTGGCAGTAATTATGGGGAGGCAAGGGGGAACCCAGCCACTACTGGATCTAGTATTTTTGTTAAGATAGACTACTGGCCTTTGCCAAGGCCCCAGAGCCTGAGTCAAACTTCCCTTAGTCAGTTCGTAGAGAGGTGGCGCCATCTCCACGAACCGCGGTATCCACAGCTTGCAGCAGCTCACCGTCCCAAGAAACTCCCTCATGGAGACCAAAGCCTAATAAGTGGCGTGGCTCTGACAAAGCTGTGCTTTTGTTGCTGACACCTGATACCCTTTTCCTGCAGAGTCTGTAAGAGTGCTCTCGTCCCCCGCAAGCATGACCCATAGTCCTCCGCGGCTATTTCCACTATTCCCACTAACTCAGTCAGGTTCTCCCTTTCAAATCCTTCAATTTTCTGAAGTTTCCTCCTTATCTCTGGGGCTGACTGACTGGCAAAGGCAAGATCGTCTACATGAGTTATCACGCAACTTCTCTGAAGTTTACCTCAAGTTATCTAGCTTAGGTAAACAAACATTTAAAGACAACCAAATCTAGAATTTAACACCCATAAAGGTGCGTTATTAAAACTAATTTTTCTCTCTAAAATAACCCTCATTTCCAGAGATAGCCAAATCAGGACTAATTCATTTGAAAAACAAGTCCAGTTTTAACAAACTTGGCCTAATTATTTACATAAGCTCAGCAAGAACAGTGAGTGTGATCATATAGATCTTTTAGAATCTGCTTTGCTGGAACTTCTTACAAGGAATCTCTAGGTTGAACTTTTAGTAGCCTCTCCGGGCCAGAAGCCAAACCACGTAGTTGCCATCAGACATGCCTGCAATACCTGTCGATTTGGGCTAATTACTCTTCCTGAGGTCCTGCCCCTGCCAGGGAGTGATATTCTTTACTCACCTGGTAAGGCTGCTGGGAACTCTGTAAGCACGGTATCAGGCCAACAGTTCCAAAAGGCTTTACGGCTCCACGTTTCATAAAGTCAACCTTAGTTCCTTAAAGATGTCTGGTCATATCTGAGTCTTTTCAAATGTGACATTCCAGTCAAAGCCTTGGTAAAATAACCAGTGTTTCCAATGGTGTCCTGTTACAAGGAGAACAGATTCTTATTGAACTTATGCAAATGACTGATTGCCATGGAAGAAAAATACTTACTGAGACCTTTTGGTTTCAGAGGGTTCAGATAGAGAGAAAAGTTGGATGCCTTGATTCATTTGCAAATAAATATTTTTCCATTTCTGTAAGTCACAGACATCTTAAGAAAAAAGTTTTCTTGGTCTGGAAGAACAAACATTAGAGAACCAGCAATGTCTAAAATAACAGATACAACACTATAATCTTTTAGTTCATTTAGTCCCATGTTACTAAATCTGGTGAATGCAGCTTTAGTTAGTTTTGGCAATTCTTACCCATTTCAGTTTTTGGATTTTCAAGTATATCATATATCTGTATTTGTCCTGAAAGTCCTTTATATAAATTTCCTTTAAGATAAAACTCATTTTACAAGAGAATTAAAACAATTATAAATGACAAGAACTCGGAATGGATATGGTTAGAGCTGATGAGACAAGAGTTTACAATTTAGCTGGCAAGGAAATCAGGTTATTTCTGTGACACATAACATTTCCATAATTACAATATCAAGTGATGATCTATCAAAACATTAAAATTTTGGAAATGCATAGAATGTCTAGAATAGTTATAGCCTTTACCCAAATGTAACCCAAGATTTATCATTGGTTTAGCAGTACTTCATCAGTAACTTAGCATACCAAGGAAAAGCATGAGTTAGAGAGATTTACAACTTAAATCTTGTCAACATTTGCTAAAATCTTATAAAGTTTTAAGGCACATGCCTAAATATAATTAGGGATATACTTATCCCTGATATAGGCAAAATGAGAAAGTGGTTTTTCTGGACAGGCAAAAAGAAAACCATTTACATTTTCTTCTTAACAGCAGATCAATTAATCTAAGAAAACTTTGTCCTTTTGAACAGAGAGAACTTCAGTCTTATACCAATGTACCTTTAAAACCCATTCATTTCAAGTTTAGTCCATCCTGACCATACCTAAATTCCTTCTCTGAAGATTTCCCTTCACAAACCTTCTACAACTTTCTTTTGCATTCAGGTTTTGTCCCAGGCCATTTCCTTCCAAACAACCATCTCATTTAGGACAAAATTACCTTCTTTTACCCTCAACAAAATGTATTCCCATTCCTTAAATCTTTCTTACATATCTCCTACTTTCCTACATACAGAGTTGCTTCCTTTATTTCCATCAGTCTTAGTTACACTTAGCATTTTGTACTCTTAGAAACACCTTAACCTATAGTCCGTTATTAACCAATTGTGAACGGTTATAACAGAATTCTTTAGATGGCAAATTTATAAATCAGTTAAGCACAAAACATGTTTACCAACAGATTTAAATATTCTTAGTTTTTTTTTTTTTTTTTTGCAGTAAGAAGTCAAAAGCACAAACCTACATCCAGTAATTAATGACTTAGCATTTTATCCTGTTTGGTTAAGACCTAGATGTCCATAATTTAATTCCATTTGTCATCCAACCAAAACTTTAAAGTTTCAGGTTACCAAAGACTTTGAAAGCTATTTCAGCAATTACCCATTAAAACTTTGAGACAGACAATTAACCATCAGTTTAGTCATCTCTTTACTAACAAATTTTAACAAATAACACGAGCTTATTTGACCTTCAGTAAATTTCAAAGTTTCACATTTACTGCTGATAACTTCAAAGACATGTCTATCTTAATTAAACCAACAAACTTAACTTATTCCAATACTGATTTATGTTCCACCTGGGCCCACTCCACTTTGAATGTTTACCTGAGACACGGGTGGGAAGATCTGGAGTGGGGGGTGTTAGGTCCAGGGGCTGCTCTTCTTGCTCCTTGACAGTGAGGAGAGAAGGAGCCGTGGTGCGTGATCTAGAGGCGGTCATGCAGGCCGCACACACATTGGTGCAGAAACAGGAGAAGGGGGAAACAGAAGGAACAAGGTGCCGCCAGGTGGCAGAGAAAGGATTCCCTGTTCTAGAGCTCATCAGCCCCAACAGAGGAGCAGACGCCACGCTTTCCCACCAGTAAGTGGGAAGGGGGTAAGCAGTCTAAGTCGGGCCAGAGAAGACAGGGAATTTCCCCGAAACAAAAGGAATTTCGGCAGTTGCTTGGGAATATTCCTTAAAGTCTCTGTCTCGAGTTAGACTAACCCCAGTTGGCTCCAGTTATAGCCCTTAACACGGGAAATGAGTGAGGGAGGAGCCCCACATCTATTAGGAAGACTATAGAGAGATAAAATCAGAGTCCCCTTTGCTAGGGGTGGCCCAGCAACCTGGGTTTACTAGAAGGCTTATTATTCTGCAAAAGGCCCTTAGATTGGGGTCCTGGTGCAGAGCAATGACCACAATAAGACAAAGACACCAATGACAATAAGAACACACTCACAAAGACAAACATCCAGCACAGCCACAAAGACAAAACTGAAAGGAAGTTAAGGGAGAATCCCACCGTAACAGCAGCCAGCTCTCCTCACACTCACAGATGAGGATCTTGTCCTCCAGGCGGGGGTAAGGGACGTCTCTTCCAAAGGGGCAAGGGACGTCTCTTCCAAAAATTCCCATAAACTTAACAAACAGCACAACAGACAACAAAAACAAGATGCCAGACTGCCTAGGGAGACTTGAAACCCCTGGCTGCCTTGGGGGACCATGAACACCCTGGTGACTGCTTAGGGGGACTCTAACCCCCTGAAATGGCGGGGGACTCGAACCCCCTGTGGGGGCAAGGGATGTCTCCACAAGACCCCCTGGTCGACGGCCTGCCACGCGTCCACTTGAGCCAACGTCAACCCTAGTACAAGTTGGAATTCCTACGGGTAAAAAAATGCAGATTGGAGCTCTCAAAGTGTGCACGCAAACAGATGACAATGAGTGCACTCACCAGCCGGCGCAAGACCCTCTGGGTGGGGTACTGGGAGTCTCCCAGATCTCAGTAGGACCTCCAAATGTTATGCCCGAGTTTTCACGTCTGAGAGACCACCAAGGAGCCAAGCACCGATGCATTCACACGAGGGTTTATTCAGCAAGCTTAAGCTTGGGCCCAAGTGTACCCAACACAGAGGAGTAGGGACTTGGACCCCGAGCCAGATTACAGTCAGGATTTTTAAAAGGCAGAGTAGGGGTAGACTCAGCCGTGGGTGAGGACAAAAGGGGGTTATGGATGATGTAAGTCTCTAAGTGTAAGAATGGGTTGGCATGAGAACGGCCATCTCAAAGGCCAGGAAGCCATTTTACTGAGTTGAGGGAGGAGGGACTAGGGGAAGCTTGAAAAACAAGCTAGAAATACAAGTTTTGGAAAACGAGTTTTGAAAAACAAGCTTTGGAAAACAAGTTTTGAAAAACAAGTTTTGGAAAACAAGTCAATCCTATGCACCAGAATACGGGCAGCTGTGGACTAGATGCACTGGTAAAGAGTTATCTCACTAAACCACCTGGGGGTGACGCAAAGGTAAGCTGTCAGAGTGTGGCGCCAGATGTGAATGGAGCTATGGACAATTGCTGTGTGTTAAGCGCTTTGGAAATGGTATATGAGCCCTTGGCTTTGAGTACTCGGGGTCCTTGTTGAAACCCGCTGGGCCGGGCAGATACTTGGACCCCAGCTAGCTGGAAATAAACCTTGCTATGTGACTTGCATTATCGAGAGTGTTCTCTGTCTAATTGAGGGGTGGTCGACTCTGTACCCTAACATTTGGAGGTTCCACTGAGATCTTAAGACCCTCCTCAGAGAGACAGACAACTCCCCGATACTGAGGTTTAACTAAAGGAACTGCGGAAGGAGGATTGGCCATCTCCAAGAGGGGAGGACTGAAACAGGTCCTTGACCGGAGAGACTGAAACAGGTCTCTGCCCGGTCCCAATTGAGAATTCTCACGGGAAGGAAGGAGCGGGTTGCAACCCTGGAGGCTCCATTACTGGAAGTCGCCGGAGACGTCCCCGACAAAAGGGTTCCAAAACGGCGTCCACGGTGGACGCCGTTTGGACGGCCAGGTAAGGATCCTGAGTGTTGTGTGAGTGGGACGGCGCCTGTGGATGTGGTGTGGCTGACCGGCCGGTGGGTGTTAGAAAATTCGTTTCGAATTTGTGTGTTTGCTGGCTTTGTGTCTCTTATTTTTTCCTGGCTTCTTTTTGTAATAATAATGGGACAGGCTCAGGTAACGCCCAAGACCCTGCTCCTGATCCACTTCCCTGAGATCCGCTCCAAGGCTCACAATTATGGCGTGGAAGTAAAAAAAGGTAAGTTTGATTACCCTCTGCTCTGCAGAATGGCCTACTTTTAAGGTGGGCTGGCCACCCCAGGGGACCTTTTCTGTGGTCATTATTAAGAAAGTCCGAGATGTGATCAACCAGACAGGACTACAGGGCCACCCAGACCAATATCCCTATATTTTCATGTGGCAAGCTTTGGTAGAGAGTCCTCCCTCCTGGCTGAAACCATTTGTCCCCAAGAAGCTGGAGGATCCCCCCCCCGGGTGCTGGCCGTCTCTCTGGCCCCCCACCACTCTACTGCTCCCGCTCTTACGGCCCAACCGAAACTCCCAGGGAACCCATCCAAGAAACCTGTTTTACAGGAAGGGTCGGACCTGTACCCCTCCCTGATAGACCTAGATTTTGAAGAAACCCCTCCTCCATACGCGCCTGTGGCACCACTCCGACCTGAAGCGGCCGCCCCTCCCGAGCCCCCTCACTCATCCGCCTCCCCGTCAGCTGCCCCAGCCCTGGCCCAGGGACCGGTGTGGGGATTAAGGCCTCGTAGGCACCGGGAGGAGACCCCAGAAGAGGAACCATCCTCCTCCACCTCAGCCGGGGCGCCCATTCTCCCCATATGGGCCCTGGGAGGTACTGGCCCAGATGGGGAACGATCTTACCAGTATTGGCCCTTTTCAAGCAGTGATCTGTATAACTGGAAGTCTCAAAACCCCCCTTTCTCTGAAGACCCGAGGGGCCTGACTGACCTGTTTGAGTCTGTCATGCATACACATAGCCCCACATGGGACGATTGCCAGCAGCTCCTTAAGACCTTGTTCACTACCGAAGAGCGCGAGCAGATCCTCACCGAGGCCAGAAAGAATGTCCCCAGCGACAACGGACGGCCAACAACCTTGCCGAACCTGACTGATGAGCACTTCCCCTTGAATAGACCGGATTGGGATTTTGGGAACGTGGAAGGTAAGGAGCGTCTCCCAGTTTACCGCAGACTCTTATGGCAGGTCTCCGAGCAGCGGCACGCCGCCCCACCAGTTTGGCTAAGGTGAAAGCTGTGATGCAAGGGGAAATTGAAAGCCCGGCCCTGTTCTTAGAACGCCTCTATGATGCTTATAGGCAGTACACCCCTTGGGACCCCCTGGCAGAGGAGAATCAGTCAGCTGTAATTATGTCTTTTATAAACCAGGCTGCCCCAGATATTAGAAAGAAATTATATAAGCAGGAAGGATTGGGAGAAATGACCATTCAGGATCTGATGAAAGTGGTAGAGAGAGTTTTTAACACTCGGGAGACTCCGGAGGAAAGGGAGGATCGGATCAGAAAGGAAAATCGGGAGTTACAGGAAAGAATTAGGAAAGAGGACAGAGAGCATCTGAGTAGGGAGAGCAAAAGGCAGCAAAAGGAGATGGCCAAGATCCTGCTGGCAGGGGTGCAGGGCACAGCCCGGGCGGGACCGGGTCCAGCCGGACTGACCCGACCTCAAAAACTGCGGCCCAGGCTAGATGGGGGCAATGCGCGAACTGTAAAGAATATGGACATTGGAAGAAGGAATGCCCCAAGCGCCAGGGCCAGACTGGACAGGACGCTCGGGTTTTGCTGGCAGGAATGGACAGTGACTAGGGGAGACGGGACTCGGATCCCCTCCCCGAGTCTTGGGTAACTGTGTATGTGGAGGGGAAACCAGTGGGATTCATGGTGGACACAGGAGCCCGGTACTCAGTTTTAAACAAGCCTATGGAGTCCCTATCTCAGAAAACCAGCCTGGTGCAGGGGGAAACTGGGTCCAAGGCTTATCGATGGACCAGTAGGCGCCAGGTGGACTTGGGCCGCCACCAAGTGGCCCACTCCTTCCTGGTTATCCCTGAATGCCCGGCCCCCTTGTTGGGGCATGATCTCCTAACCAAAGTCCAGGCCTGTATCCGCTTTGAGCCAGACGGCATCAAAGTAATGGACGGCTAGGGACAGCCCCTTATGTTTTGACCCTGTCCCTTACAGATGAGCATCGCCTGTTTGCCCTGCAGGACACCTCCTCCCCCATAGAGTGGCCCCATGAGATGGATTACTGGCTTAGAACGTACCCTCAGGCATGGGCAGAGATAGCGGTATGGGTCTGGCAGCCCACCAAACACCAGTAGTGGTCGAAGTGAAAGCCTCGGCCCAGCCTATCTGGGTCCACCAGTACCCCATGCCCACTGAGGCGCGAAAAGGGATTGCCCCACACATTAACCGCCTCTTAGAAGCTGGAATACTGAAACCCTGCCACTCCGCCTGGAACACCCCACTTCTCCCCGTTAAGAAACCAGGGGGAAAGGATTACAGGTCAGTCCAGGACTTGAGGGAAGTAAATAAGAGGATCGAGGACATCCACCCCACGGTCCCCAACCTTTATACCCTGCTAAGTCGCTTACCCCCTTCACATATTTGGTATACTACCCTGGCCTAAAGGATGCATTTTTTAGCATAGCCCTGGCACCCAGCAGTCAACACATTTTTGCCTTCTAATGGCATGATGACAGTACGGGAACCTCCAGACAGTTAACCTGGACTAGACTACCACAAGGCTTCAAAAACTCTCCTACTCTGTTTAATGAAGCCTTAAATCAGGATCTGGACTTGTTCCACCGGAGTCATGACTCAGTTACACTCCTGCAATACGTAGATGACTTGCTTCTGGCAGCCCCCACCGAGGCTGAGTGCTAACGGGCCACTGGAGACCTCCTCCAGGAACTGGGACAATAGGGCTATCGGGCCAGTGCAAAGAAAGCCCAAATATGCAGGCAGACAGTCACCTACCTGGGGTGTAAATTGAAGGAAGGGACCAGATGGTTAACAGAGGCCATGAAAGAGACTATTCTCAGGCTCCCAGTCCCAACCTCGACCGGAGGAGTCCGTGAGTTTCTAGGAACAGCGGGCTACTGCCGGCTATGGATTCTAGGGTATGCTGAGATAGCGAAGCCCCTGTATGAGGCAACCAAAGATAAGGCCCTCTGGGCCTGGGGGCCGAAACAGCAAAAGGCCTTTGACGAACTTAAGACTGCCCTCTTAAAGGCACCAGCCCTGGCATTGCCAGACCCTCTGAAGCCCTTCACCTTTTTCGTGGATGAAAGGAGGGGAATAGCGAAAGGGGTACTGATGCAGCGCCTGGGGCCATGGAAGCGTCCGGTTGCCTACTTATCTAAGAGATTAGACCCAGTAGCTTCAGGATGGCCCCCATGCCTAAGGATCATCGCGGCAGTAGCCCTGATGGTAAAGGATGCAGACAAACTCACTTTCGGGCAGCATCTGAAAGTAGTAACGCCCCATGTGATCCAGGGGGTCCAGAAAAATCCCCCTGGTAGGTGGATGACCAATGCCCGCCTGACCCATTACCAAGGACTCCTGTCAGATGCACCTCGGATCAACCTTGCTGAACCAACTGCACTGAATCCAGCCACCCTGCTGCCAACCCCGGATCTAGAAGCCCCCCTGCATGACTGCCAGGAGATCATGACAGAAATCACCCAGGTGCGCCCCGACCTCCAGGACACCGCCCTCTCCAACAGTGAGTTGGTATAGTACACTGATGGAAGCAGCTTCATCATGGATGGGGTGCGAAGGGCGGGTGCGGCGGTGGTGGACCAAGACGGGCATGTCGTTTGGAGTGCCTCGCTTCCCCCGGGGACCTCAGCCCAAAAGGCTGAACTGATTGCGCTGGCGGAGGCGTTAGAACGGACGGGCTGAAGGGAAACGGATGACTGTTTACACCGATGGCCGCTATGCTTTCGGCACTGTCCATGTGCATGGCGCCATCTACCGGGAGAGGGGCTTTGTTACAGCGGAGGGAAAGGAACTGCGTAATCTCCCAGAGGTGCAGAGGCTACTGGCGGCTGTGCAAAAACCCCGGGCAGTTGCACTTGTCCACGTCCCTGGACACCAGTCTGCCCGGACCTCGGAGGCTAAAGGAAACCGGCGAGCGGATGAGGCCGCCAAAAAGGCAGCAATAGCTTCACCAACTTTGGCACTCGCCCTGCCCGCACCTGAGCTCCCACGCCTGCCCCCGCGACCTGACTACACCCCAGAGAATCTGCAGTGGATCCAAAACCACCACTGCGCAGAGCCTGATCGGCATGGGTGGCATCGGGATCCAGAGGGAAGACTGATACTACCGGCCAAACTAGGACTGTTCCTGCTTTCCAACCTGCACCAAGCCGCCCATTTAGGAAAGAGAAAACTGCTGACAATTCTTGAGTCTGCCCGCCTCCGGTTCCCCCGACAAACCACCCAGATCCAGGAGATCGTGGATCAGTGTATTGGGTGCCAGGCTATGAAATACAGGTACATACCTACATACAGGTACGAGGGTATGGGGGAGGGCACCAGGACGAAGCTGGGAGGTGGATTTTACTGAGGTAAAACCTAGGAGGTATGGGTATAAGTACTTGCTGGTATTGGTTGACACCTTTCAGGCTGGGTGGAAGCCTTCCCCACGAAACGAGAGACTGCCCAGGTTGTCGATAAGGCATTACTAGAAGAAATCATACCCAGATATGGTTTCCCGAGGTTTTAGGGTCCGATAACGGCCCCGCTTTCATCAGCAAAGTTCTACAAGGACTGGCCCAAGCGGTGGGGACCGATTGGAAGTTACATTGTGAATATAGTCCCCAGAGCTCCGGGCAGGTAAGAAAGGATGAATCGAACCTTAAAAGAGACCTTATCTAAATTGACCATCGAGACTGGCGTGGACTGGGTGACCCTCCTACCCTATGCCATATTCCGAGTTCAAAACTCCCCTTATGTGCACGGATTAACTCCCTTCGAAATTCTATATGGGAGACCACCCCCCATTATTGTCCGTGCCTTGCCAGACAAGACTCTAATGTGACCCCAAATTATCTGGCCAGTTTGAAGGCCCTACAGGACGTTCAGCGTGAAATCTGGCCCATGGTGCGCTCTTTGTATGAGACCAGGGATACACCAAATCCGGAACATGGCATTGTCCCAGGGGATTGGGTATGGGTAAGGAGACACAGGTCCCGAACCTTAGAAGAAAGATGGAAAGGTCCTTATGTGGTTGTTCTGGTTACCCCCACTGCCTTAAAAGTTGACGGCATTGGGCCTTGAGTCCACCACTCCCACGTATGCTGAGCCACCGAGCAGAGACAAGCCAGGGAGTGGACCGTGGGACAACACCCTGATAATCCCCTGAAGCTACAACTCTCCAGACCTCAGGGACACACCGAATCTGCCATCCGGTCTGATGATGAAGTGGCTGCTGGTCCTGACCCTGCTCAACGACTGGAAAAGGAACCACGCAGAAACCAACCCTCATCAGCCTTATAAGCAGACATGGATTCTGACCGATGGAGAGACTGGTAGGACTCTCAACGAAACCACCCGCGTGGCCCCACTAGCCACATGGTGGCCAGACTTAACCTTCTGCTTCAGGGATATTATCCCTGATTACGAGTCCACGGCGCCCAATTTAGCTTGTAGCTATGGATTCTATCCTGCCCGGGACACTCTAAGGGCCAACAATGTTGGGGGGAGTCCAATATTCCTTCTGTAAGAGTTGGGCCTGTGTCACCTCTAATGACGGGGATTGGAGGTGGGCGGTTTCACGACCAGACTCTCTAAAATTTGCTTTTGTTAATCAAGGAAAGCCTAGAGGGGCAGCCATTCCTCCCCTTCAAGGGCCTTGTTCCCCTCAAGACTCAGACAGGATCTGAGTTTGGTTCACTGACCAGGGAAGACGGGAAGGGGTTAACAATTGGATTTAAGGAGAACAGTGGGGAATAGTGTTCTACAAATACGGGGGACATGCGGGATCCACTATTTTTGTTAGATTGAAGGTTGAGGCAGTACAGACGAACAATACTCCGGTAGGTCCAAATAGGGTGCTGGCTCCTCCGGCTGGCCAAAAGGCTCCTCCAGCTTCCCCTGCCCCTACCAAGAACCCAGGTAAAAAAAAAAAAAAAAAAAAAAAATCCAAACAGGACCATAAGACCCCAGACTAACTCCCCTATAATCTCCCCAGCACCTACTACACAGGCCGCTGAAGACTCCTTATGGAAATTAATGCTTACTATGTATGAGACCCTTAACGCCACCAGCCTAATCTCACGGCCTCATGTTGGATGTGTTATGATGTGAAGCCTCCATTTTATGAAGCAATAGGGCTAAATGCCACCTATAATGTATTATCAAATGAGAACCCCTCTCAATGTTCATGGGGGGACTGTAAAATCTGTCTAACCCTACAGCGAGTGAGCGGTAACGGAACCTGCCTAGGGAGAGTGCTGCAAGTTAAACGAAGTCTTTGCACTTCCATAGATAACACCCCTAGTGGGAGAGGTGGCCCAAAGTGGCTAATCCCAGAAAATAATGGATGGTAGATATGTTCAAAGACTGGCCTCACCCCGTGCCTCTCGACCTCGGTCTTTAATGCCTCTGAGGAGTTCTGTGTCCTGGTGGCTGTGATGCCCCACATCCTCTACCTCCCCGAGGAACACATGTATTCTCACTGGAGTAAAAGCACAAGTGAGAGAAGTAAAAGAGAGCCCATCACTGCACTAACTATTGCTACCTTGTTCAGCTTAGGAGTAGCTGGGGCTGGGACCAGCATAGCCTCCCTGGTTATTCAACAAACAGGAATGACATCTCTGAGGGCGGCCATAGGTGAGGATCTAGAAAGAATAGAGACCTCTATAAGTCATTTAGAAAAATCTCTCACCTCCCTGTCCGAGGTGGTACTCCAAAATAGAAGAAGGCTTGATTTGTTGTTCCTCCAACAAGGGGGACGATGTGCCGCATTAGAAGAATGCTGCTTTTATGCCGGCCATACTGGGGTAGTAAAAGAATCCATGGCTAAGGTGAGAGAAGGATTAGCCAGGAGGAAGAAGGAGAGGGAGGCATGGGAGAACTGGTTTGAGGCTTGGTTTAATAGGACCCCCTGGTTGACCACCTTGGTTTCTACCTTAGTTGGCCCATTTGTTTTGCTTGTGCTCATTCTAACTTTTGGCCCTTGTATTCTGAATAAGCTTATTAGTTTTGTAAAAGATTGTGTTAATGCTGTCCAGCTCATGGTCTTAAGACAGCAGGATGAGAAGTTGCCTGCTCCTGAGGGCCCCTACAACTGCTCTACCAATGAGCAGGATTCCTTATTATAAACAACTAAAGGGGGGAATGTAAGAATGGGTTGGCATGAGAACAGCCATCTCAAAGGCCGGGAAGCCATTTTACTGAGTTGAGGGAGGAGGGACTAGGGGAAGCTTGAAAAACAAGCTAGAAATACAAGTTTTGGAAAACAAGTTTTGAAAAACAAGTCAATCCTATGCACCAGAATATGGGTGGCTCGGACTAGATGCATTGATAAAGAGCTTATCTCACTAAACCACCTGGGGGAGACGCAAAGGTAAGAGTGTGTCAGTGTGTGGCGCCAGATGTGAATGGAGCTATGGACAATTGCTGTGTGTTAAGTGCTTTGGAAATGCTATATGAGCCCTTGGCTTTGAGTACTCAGGGTCCTTGTTGAAACCCGCTGGGCCGGGCAGATACTTGGACCCCAGCTAGCTGGAAATAAACCTTGCTGTGTGACTTGCATTATCGAGAGTGTTCTCTAATTGAGGGGTGGTTGACTCCATACCCTAACTCTAAGGAATTTTGGAAGCGAGGTCTCCAGGACCTTGAGGGGCTAGCTATTGTCTGGGGAAAAGGTTATTCATTACCAGTAAGAAAAATCTTCTCGTGAGACCCTCTAGATGTATATCAGTGGGTCATATGCTTGGGAATGATCGCTGACACTATCTTGGAGGTTTAGAGATAAAGTTTCACATTTCTCCCATCAAGTGTCCTTGTTAGTGAGATTTAGGTTTAGAAGAATTTTAACTTTATTTGCATTTCCTTCTGCCTCAGCCTCCTTCAGTTTTATGGCGGGGAGGGTGACATTAGGGCTTAAGGAACTGAGTTATTTGTCTCTTGAAATTGGGCTGTTGAGCAGATAGCTTCTTTGTTGTAAATCACTAGGACATTTGTAAACCGAGGGGGACTCCTGTCTTGCAGGATTGTGATCTCTGCAAGTTAACTATTTGTTTTTCTTTTAGGGCAGGCAGGGGTGGCTGAGGAATGTCACACATACTACCGAGGGGAGGGGAGCGGGTGGAGAGGGGGTGCAAGGTGTCAGCTTTTGCTTTGCCAAGATGGCTGTACTTATGTCAGGGCTAGACTCGAGGTGGGTACAGTCTCGTTTTTCTTGGCCTCCACAACATGGGATCTAAGATGTAAGCTTTAGCTATTTGAAAAGTGCCCTCATGTGGCCCCCTTCATCCCAAACACCGAATTCAGTGCCGTTCATCCTCCCCTCAGGCCTCACTTCAGACTCCTACCTGGTAAGTCACCTGGGCAAACAGAAGCTGTTTGCTCTGCTTATGCAGGCACTGAAGGTTTTCTCCAGAAAAAGGTATGTGTGCTGTTCAGTAGCTGATAAAGTGTATCTCCCAAATCCCCTCAGCCCTTCAGGCCTTTGCAAAAAGGCAGCTCCAGCTACCGGCTGACAGCCTGAAGTGAGTTCCAGAATCTTCAGGTTTGCATCGTGATTTGAGGGCTCAAGGCTCTTTTGCCTTTGAAATCTCTTCCTCCTTAAAAAAAAAAGATTAAACATTTTATCTTGTGACTGCACCAGAATAAAGATCAATATTAATGCGGGCTGGATTCATTGCCATGTGTTCATTAACATGTGCGGTTTTTTCTTCTGATCTGAAGAGAAATTAAAATATTATCATGGGCCCCTAAAAGTCTCACAGGCTTTGGGCCCTGGGCCAGCTGCGCCTAACCTGGAAAGAGCCGGGCCCTCGAGAACCTGAGGCGACAAGAGGTGGGAGAGCCTACCAAAGAGTTCTGCCACCCTCTGCAGGTTCTGAAAGAGAAGTGTCAAAAGCAAAGAAATGGTAAAACCCAGATGGGACAAAGTAATGGCCACACACTAGCTGGCCTTTGATAGGCAGTTAGTCTGTGCACTGTACTAAGGAATTTGCAGACACATCCAGGGAGGCGAGCCTCTGGTCCACTAACTTCCAGTGGCCCCAGAGGTTAGGTTTCATGTCCAAGTTCACCCCGCCATCAATGGCAGGAACCTGTGACCACCAAGCCTGGCCCTTTCCACCTGCTTATCCCCCGCTTCCGGAGGGGGCCAGTCTACACCTGCTCAGGTCACCTCTGAGTCTTCCCTTCTCTATCTCTCGCTGCTTTGCTGGGAAAATTAGCATCGATGGCCATCGAGTGAGAAGTCAGAGTCTGAACCACTGTAGAACTCTGTAAGTACACATTCCTTTGTATCTACAAAGATCAGAATTTTGGTGACACATTTGCCTTATTGGGGCCCTGCGTTCCTATTCTATTGGTCTTGTGAGTCGGCCCCAGGGGGCGAAGGCTGGGCCTGCACCTTGGATGGATGGTTACTCCCTGAGATGTGAAACTCAGATGAAGTCACAGTTGGCCAGTAATTCCAACTCACCTCATTTTGCTCAGCCATTACCCATTTCTACGTCTAAGAGGGACTCGGGAGTGGGGGAGGTGACAATTTGTGTTTATATAGAATCCCAGCTTGAAGTTAATTAATTAAAACATTAAGCTACCCCAACAAATCCTCCTGTGAAAGACAGAAAGCTAAAGCATGGTGCACTTCGTTTGACATAAATTATTTGGGCTGCAGTAAAATCTTGCAACAGGCCTCTTAAACCTCACGACCTATATCACCTGAGGAAATTCTTCTCTGTAGGAAGACCCACTCATTTATTCCAACACCGCGATTTTCCTTCCCACCCCTCCTACCCTCCCATCCACCACCACACCCACACCCTTCCCAGACAAAAAACACTCCCAGACTAAAAAAGAAAAAAAAAAAGTCCTCAGTAAAAGAGAGACTTTTCCTGAAGTAAATGAGGGACCATGCAAGGATGGATTGAATAGCTGGTGAGACACCAGCCCCCACACCCTTTGGGCTTCTATAACACACTGGAAAGCTGTGAAAAAATCACCCAGCGAAGGAAAGGCAGGCTTGCGGCAGAAATGGATGAAGAGACAGAAAGCACCAAGAAGTTCATGTTCACAATAAACACTGGGACTGGGCCCCACACGGCTCATCACTGGTTACCTTAGGGAAATAGTTACCTTGGGGAAATAGAAAAGGAGTAGGAGAGGCAGAGGCCTCTACTTTGTATCCTTCTAGAGATTTGCAATATTTGTTAAACAAAGAGCTGTATGTGTTTAACACACACACACACACACACACACACACACACACACACACACGAAGGATCATAGAAAATGTGTTATTATTTTCAGCTGCTGCAAAAAGGAAGTTAAAGCATAGCTATGGGAAACCTCCAGAAGGGGGGGGGGAGGATGAGAGCAGAGATGTCAGAATCAAAAGATCTGAATTCCCGACTCAGCTTTCTGTGCCTCAGATTCTTCATGTGAAAAATGGAGGAAATTATAATGCTTATCTGCTGTGGTCACCCCAGGAAGATTAAATGAGATGAGTAAAAAAAAAGTGCAGGGTAGTGACGCTTGGGTGGCTCAGTCAGTTGAGCGTCTGCCTTCAGCTCAGGTCATGATTCCAGGGTCCTGGGATCCAGCCCTGCGTCGAGCTCCCTGCTCAGTGGAGAGTCTGCTTCTCCCTCTCCCACTTTCCCTGCATGTGGTCCCTCTCTTGCTGTCTCTTTCTGTCAAATAAATAAATAAAATCAAGTGCAGGTTTTTTTTTTTTTTTCCCCAGTTAGCCCCTCTTCCCTAGACCCCCTCACTTTATGCGATGATGGAAGTTAGTATTTTTTGGTTTAGGCGTTTTGTTTTGTTTTAATTTTCTTAGTAATGATGGAAGTTTAAATGCTGTGTCTCCAACACACAACTGCAAAGCGACTTGACTTCAGGCTATGTCCTGGGCAGGAGCCGACAGCTCCCTGAGGACCCTCGGAGGGAAGTGTTGAGTGCTGTCAATAGTTAAAAGAAAAGTAGCCAAGAGAGAGCCCTGAAGACATGGGTAGACCGCCCCCATAACTATGCTAATTTAAAAACAAAAACAAAGAGAAAAAGGAAAGAAAAGAAAACAGTGTCTTTTCCAAATGTTTAAACTGAAATGGGAAGGTCACCTTTACTTCATACACACACTACTCACGGAAACCAAAATAGGCATAGGGTGGCTGTTCCTGACTGGACTCGGAACTCATGGGAGTACGAAAACCATATAGCTAAAGGATTTGAGAACCGCTGTCCTTTGCATTGCAGAGGTGAAATAAAGGATTTTTCCTTTTTTTATTGAAGAAAGTGAGACAAGTGGTGCCAGAGATGAAAATGAAGAAGAAAAGACTAAAAGGAAGTAGTTATCACATCGGGGAAAAGATTAGACAACCCTCAGGGCACTCATTAATAAAAAGTGTATCTATTATGTGTTATTCATAATTTTTTTTTCAGGGGGGAGATCGCATGTTCTTTTCAGGTAACTAAAGTAGTTCCTGGTTGTGCCTCATTGTTTCCTGATATGAGGGATAAACAGCAGAAACAATGGATGTGAAAATTAGGACTTTTGAATCCCTCTATAGAGTTGCCAACAAGATATCCCGTTATAGTCTATCTCAGATTGATAAAGAATAGTTTTCAGTGTAACTATGTCCCATGAGTTATATATTAAAAAATTCTTTGTTTTTTTATCTGAACTTCAAATTTAACTGGATGCCCTATATCCTTATTTGCTAAGTCTGACAACCCTATTATTGCAGAAAGAATAAAAACCCTCATCAAGCTTGGCATGAGAATGGCATTTAGAATATAAGAGAAAGGTCAGTGAGAGGTCATCCAGTGAGCACTACAAAGGGTTTTTATAGAGGATGTTGGAAAAACATGTGGTAACGCACCACCTTCTTATTCCTACGAAAGGCTGACTTTGTTTCTTAGCAGGATGGAGGCTGCCCTCGCTAACCCCAATTTATAGCCAGACTAGAAATTTTTCCCGGAAGAGAACTGGTTTCCATGGGGACACCCAGGCTGCCAAATATTCAGGTGCCAGGCAGGCAGAGCTTGTAGTAGGTGCTCAATGAGGAAGGGCAGTTTGGGTAAGAGACTTGGTAGAGAATTCTCTAAACTTTAGCATCTAAAGAATGGGTGGCTCTTTGGGGTGCCTGGGTGGCTCAGTCAGTTAAGCGTCTGCCTTTAGCTCAGGTCACGACCCTGGAGCCCCAGGACTGAGCTCGATGTTGGGTTCCCTGCTCAGGGAGGAGTCTGCTTCTCCCTCTCCCTCTGCCATTGCCCCCTGGCTCATGCTCTCTCTCTCTCGCAAATAAATAAATAAAATCTTAAAAAAAAAAATAGGTGACTCTGATGAGAGAGCAGAAGGCTGGCTGAGGACAAAGCAAAAGGCTTTTCTTTTATATTTTTTTAAGATTTTATTTATTTATTTGACAGAGAGAGAGAGAAAGAGATCACAAGTAGGCAGAGAGGTAGGCAGAGAGAGAGGTGGCGGGGGGGAAGCAGGCCCTCTGCTGAGCAGAGAGCCCGATGCAGGACTCGATCCCAGGACCCTGAGATCATGACCTGAGCCAAAGGCAGAGGCTTAACCCACTGAGCCACCCAGGCACTCCTCTGATGCAGGTTCTTACACCAGCACAGCATATGTAGTCAAATGCAGGATGGTAAAAGGTGCATGTCTTTCCTTTGTTAGGTGGGAGAAGGGGATTGTAGAAGGTGGGTGTAGACAAGAGTGAGCAGTCAGCCCATGGATAGAGCCACCAAAGGTACTTTGTCAGGCAACCAGTTTTAGGTCCAAGATGTCCAAGATGTCCAAGATGTAGAAAGTGATTTCTGTAGAGTATCCTAAGGGATAAAGTCCTTCAGGGCACAGATGGCTGAGAGCTCCACTCTGGCCACAGCCAGGATCAGATGGTTCTGCTTATCCCTCTGCTCTTGCTCAGGCCTTTGACAGACAACGACTTTCCTTCAGGATTACCTAGAGTGCAGGACCCTGATGGGCTTCTGTTGATTTTTTTTTTTTTTTTTAAAGATTTGGCCTTCTGGGGGCGCCTGGGTGGCTCGGTTGGTTAAGTGTCTGACTTGGGCTGCGGTCATGATCCCAGGGTCATGGGATGGAGCCCCTCATCGGGCTCTCTGCTCAGCAGGGAGGTTGCTTCTCCTTCTCCCTCTGCTGCACTCCCTCTTTGCTCTCTTACACTATCTATTAAATTAATTATTTTTTTTTTTAAGAGGAGGCCTCCTGGAAAATAATTCTTCCTTCTCTGTCTCTCTTGAGGTCTTAAAGATAAGTTTTGGTCCCCAGGAGCTACTTAGAAAAAGGTAAATGTCACTTTTCAGCAGCAGTCTGCTCATTTTGACAAGTCAAGGGGTTTCCCATCTTGGGGATTGCTGGCCAAACCAACCAGTATGGATATAGACAAGGAAGCCAAAGGCAGGTCTCCCTGCCTGCCTGTCCTCCCCCCACCCCCCACCCCTACCAACCTGCCTCCTGGTCAGGGCACAGAACTGCAATCCTGGACACCAAAACACAGTTACATTGAACGAGAATGATCAAACTATTTTTTCCTGTCTAAAAGCAATTCTAATTTGATTGATCGGTTTGGCAACGAGGGCTGTATTCACCATGAGGTGCTACCGAAAGCATTTTTCATAATTTCGATCAGCTCGGTCTGCAGCAATGTAAATAAAGCCCACGCCCGTATGTGGGAATATTCAACCGTCTCAGCTATGAAGATGATACAAATTCACATGTCTATGTTTTTTAAAAACATGCACAAAGGCACATGATCGTTCGCAATTGTTTTAGAGGGGTTATGAGCCAAGTCTGAAGGCCCGTGGACCTTCAGGTTCTCTCCAAAGCACCTGACAGTGGAGAAGTTTGCCCACACGGCTGAGTTGCGATTCTAGGTTTGCTCTGCAGAGGGCAGCATTGGTAAAACGTTGGGAGGCCGAAAAAGACGTTTGTGGGGTTTTTATTCCCTCACAGTAGTTTTCGGCAAATTTTTCTCTTTTGCCTTCAGGCAATTTTAATTAGAGTAAGAATAAGCTTCAGCGTTTGTCGCCTTGAGGGGAGTAGCTGTTTGACCAGAATGGAAACAAGAAAGGACTCTGAGTCTGGTACATGTTTCTAGGGCTAACACCGTATTACTCGTGCTTTTTGTATTTTTCTAATGACTTTATTTGCGGAGTCTAATAGTTCCCGACACCAAGTAGGTGTACAAAAAGTGTTTGATGGAAGACCAGTTACACTATTGCCAGCTCCAGGTAAGCTTTCGGTTGCACACACGGACGAGCTGGTCTACCAGACTCAGTGGAGGGCCTCCCCGAGTCCCTGGCACAGGGGAGTCCAACAGTCCTCAGGAAGGGCGGGGCCATCTATAACCTAAAAGGACTTTGCGCCAGGCGACACAAAATGGCCCTAAAGTGACTCCAGCTGTTTACAGTTCTCTCTGTGATCCCAGGAAATTATTTTCTGATGCGCTCCTCTAAGAAAATCATGCCATTTCCTTATTGTCAGTTAATTATTGCCAGGCCTTGAATAAATGGCTGAAAATTTAAATTTAAAGCACAGGTAACGCACGTAGACAAATAATCCATGATTCACCTTGAACGTTGCTGTGTCAGCAGTCGAAAGCTTCTTTCAAAGATGAGACAGGGAAGGGAAATCAGGCGCAAAGAACAAGCATGACGTCATGAGTTCTGACTCTGAGGTTCTCTGTTCCTCTTTCCAGCAACGGACCCGCACCGAGCTCCCTGTCGTGGCCCCCCTTCCACCCCAGCTAAAAGGCTACACACTTCTCTTTCTGGAGGTAAAAAGTGCCTTCAGGCAAGTTTTAACATGTGAGTGTTTGTGGCCTCCCCTGGGGCATTGGTATATTTGTTTAACTGGAATTGAAATAAAAGTTAGGCTCCTGTAGTAGGAATTCCAGCATAACAGATAGGGGAGGTGAGGCAGCTTTTCCACATGGAGGGCTTCGCAGCTGTTGCCCAAGCGTCAAGGCAGGTGTGAAAGAACCATGGCCTCCACTCAGCCCTTCTTCCAGCTGCCCTTCACCACCCCTGTGCCCTCCAGAGTGTCAATTACAAGGGACCTGATACTTTCAAGGGAATGGAAGTTATGAATGAAATATACAGTACAACCCACAGATTGCTTTCGACCACTGACCAGTCCTCTTGCTTTTTTCTAAAATTGGGAACATTCCAAAGCACTTATGTGCATGTGTGTATGTATATAAGTGTACACGTGTATATCTATGAATGTGTGCGTGCTACATCCAGTGTATATGCACATATTATATATGTGTGTATAAGCACATACATTTAAGCATACAATTAACTGCAAAAATGTAAGGCTTGCTATATCAGAAACTGTATAACTTGCCAGAAAGAATCTATCATCATCACCACCAAAGGTCAACATTTATTGATTAAACACCCATATTCATATGAAAAGTCAGCTGACAGCTCTTGCTGAGTTTACCGTGTAAGTAAATACCAGCACGAACCCTTCCCGTGGAGGGAAAGGCAGACTGAGAAATGAACAGTGAAGGCCAGGCAGCTGACTAAATTAATAAAGACATACTTACTCTGTTTTTTTTTTTTTTTTAAGATTTTTTTATTTATTTGTTTGACAGAGAGAGATCACAAGTAGGCAGAGAGGCAGGCAGAGAGAGAGAGGGGGAAGCAGGCTCCCTGCCGAGCCAGAGCCCGATGCAGAACTCAATCCCAGGACCCTGAGATCATGACCTGAGCTGAAGGCAGAGGCTTTAACCCACTGAGCCACCCAGGTGCCCCCTCACTCTGTTTTTGAATCTATAGGATGCAAGTGTCCATCCTGCATAGTATCACAGACTTAGCCATGCCCTTTTCTCTTCACAGTCTCAGAGCAGACTAGTTGTGATGCTGACACACTCCCAAGCTGACTTATTCAGGGACTGGCTTATTCCAGACTAAGCCACTAACTTCCTGTTTCCAGATGGTAACACCAGGACCCTGGTACCAAGATGCCCATATGGGCTGAATATTTATGTGTCCCTCTCCATTCATATGTTGGAATTCTAAGCCTTGCCCGAACGGTATTAAGCAGCGGAGGAGCACACTCCATTAGTCACTCCAACAGGGCATTTGGTTCATTACCTCCCCTAAAACTCTCAGAAAACCATGTGAGGAAACCAAAGCTTAGAGAGGTTATAGGTTTGCAAAAGAAATAAGAGCAGATGGGACTAAACCTAGATCTGTTGAGCCAGAAGCTCATGTTTTTAACTGACTCTGCTATCCCAGTTCCCTGGACTTGCTCATTAAATGTTTGTTGAGAAGAAAAAAAAATAGTCCCATGAAGAACTTCAAAAAGAAGAAAAAGACATTGCATCCTGTTGCCATCAGCCTCTGTAAATAAATATCACTGATAAATACACTGTCTTGATTATGGTTAATGTATTATTTCCATCTGTGTCTTAAAGGGAGGTGACGGGCACGGGGCAGGAGAAAGGACAGGAGTGAAATGGCTTTGAGCTCCTGGATGCACAGGCACCTCTCTTTGCCATAAGGCAAATGGACAACACGCTCTCTGGGAGAAAAGTTGAGCCGTTCCCCATGATCTATCTCTCCACCTTACAACAGTCACTTCTTTCAGAGGGCAATGCGTTCTCTCTGCCGGCAGGGTTAAGCATCCCAGCTCACGAAGGATGTAATCCACCTCATGGTGAAGACCCTTGACAGTGCGGATGTCTGATACGGTTCACTGCTCTGCAAACTTGAAGAATTCGAGTGCTGGCCGGAATACTGCTGAGAATACTGCTAGCTTCCTCTTTCCTGAAGGCGTGGCTGAGTGCCCTTACTCCTGGGATTCTGGCAGGCTGGCTTCCTGGCCAGATGTCTCTCATCCACACCTGTAGACCTTAGGAAACCAAGGGTGACCTCAGTATGTGTGGCCTTGATTTCCTTCCCATCACTGCCCTTGAGATGTGGAAACAGAATGAACATCCACACCAGGACCATCCACTCAACAAGCAAGTCAGGGAAGGGAACTTCCTCACTTTATGGTCAGCAAGTCAGGTGTTGGGTTGCCTCCTGACACATCTGGCTGGAGGACAAGGTCATCTATCCAGGGGATGAGGCTGTGTTCTTGCAGCATGGTGTGACTGGGCTTCCACCTCATGGCTCATCCAGAAGTATGGTTTTGATTCTTAAGTGATAACCTCAGAGCCTATGTCAGAGCAAGGAAGCCATCCCTTTTGGGTCATTGGATATTGGATTAACGAGGCCTATTGAAGAGCTGCCTTTGTGCACTACACCATCTTGGCCTCTCTTAAAAGTTCTATTTCTGGGGCTCCTGGGTGGCTCAGTCATTAAGTGACTGCCTTCAGCTCAAGTCATGATCCCAGGGTCCTGGCATCGAGCCCCACATCAGGCTCCCTGCTCGGCTGAAAGCCTGCTTTTCCTTCTCCCACTCCCCCGGCTTGTGTTACTTCTCTCACTGTGTCTCTCTCTGTCAAATAAATAAAATCTTTAAATTTAAAAAAAAAAAGAGTGCTATTTCTGAGTCACTTTTTTCATATTCTGCCACTTTTTGCATCGAGGGACATTCTATCAGCTATAGGAACGTTTCTGTGAGAGCCACTATACAGATGCTATTAAGGATATGGCCAATGCAGCTGACAGCACTGATCCTCTTTCTCATGCCACATAGGGGAAATGTGCCTTGGTTTAAGGAACCAGAAAAATGCATATTTCTCCTGCGTGTTAACATGCGTTTCTCTTCGGGGCATTGTGAATCTTGTAGATCGTAGCATTCCCTTCTTTGCTTTGGATGCTGGGAAACTCAAAGCCAAATATTTTGCCCATTTCCAACAACTTGTATAGACCTTATAACATGCGTTTTCTGTATATACTTTGTGCTGTGTTCATCTTATTTCCCTGTCCCCGTTTTCCTTTTGCCCTAATTACTTCATCTCTAAGTTGTTGTTTATCCCTGTATTAGAGTAGGTTAACTGGAGTAAAAAATGACTCTAAATCTCAAAATAGTAAAAGAGGTTGACTTCTCACTTACCTGAAGTTTAATGTGGATATGACTTGGGGGTTCCCCTCCAAGTGTGCAACACAAGAAATTAAGTTCTTTAGCTCGGCCATCTTCCACACATTGTCTTAAGGTGGCTACCAGAGGTAGAAAGATGGGAAGCACATCAGACACTGAACTCTTTCAGCCTGGAAATGGCACACACCATTTCCTCTCATATTCCGTTGGCCAGAATTAGTCAGCCAGACAAAAAGTGCTGGGAAATATTGTTTCCAATTTGACAGCCCCTTCCCTGAAACAACTTTACATGAGAGGGAAGACAAATTCTTGGTGGTCAGCTACTATCTCTGCCATAGTCCCTAAATTCCCTCTTGAACTAAGAAAATTAAACTAAGGGACACCTGGGTGGCTCAATGGGTTAAAGCCTCTGCCTTCGGCTCAGGTCATGATCCCAGGGTGCTGGGAGGAAGCCCTGCATCACGCTCTCTGCTCGGCAGGGAGCTTGATTCCTCTTCTTTCTGCCTGTCTCTCTGCCTATTTGTGATCTCTGTCTGTCAAATAAATAAATAAAATCTTTAAAAAAAGAAAATTAAAGTAAGCCAATAGACTTTACAGAAAAAGGAAATATGTCCTTTTCCCTGCCAAAGAATAGTACTATTAATCAAGAAATAAACAAAACCATGGAGATCTATGGTTGGACTCTATGCTGCATATTACAAGTGCTACAAAGTGTGAGTTACAGTTCTCGCCTTCAAGTTGATTGGTGGGAGATGTGGCACCCTCAGAACCATTCTGTGGTGGAAACATCATTCTACCAAGTCTCATCCCTGCCCTTACTGAACTCTGTAAAGAAGAGGGTTGGATGCAGCAAGGAGCTACCTCTGTCTGTGGAATAAAGAAATCCCTTTGGGACATCTTGGTGGCTCAGTTGGTGAAGCATCTGTCTTTGGCTCAGGTCATGATCTCTGCATCCTGGGATTGAGCCCTGTGTCAGGTTCTCTGGTCAGTGGAGAGTCTGCTTCTCCCTCTCCTTCTGCTGCTCTCTTTGCTTGTGCTCGCTCTCTCTCTCTCAAATAAATAAATAAAATCTTAAAAAATTTTTTTTTTTGGCCAGTGGAAAGGGACACAGGGACTCTTCATTTCATTTCTAGTCTTCACTCTGAGATGGCTCTGGTTAAGGGTTTAGTTTCCTCCTGCCTGGATTCCTAATTTGCAGATTGGAGGTAATGATATTTGCCTACCTTGCCTCAGGATTAATTAGTGGTTGTGCTGTCCTTTGAGCCTACAGATGAAAAGCTTTTACATGAGCATAATTCATCATCCCCTTCACAACTGTCATCATCACCATCATTACTTTGTATCCTAAAGATAAAGTGGTGGAGTTCCCACACAAATTTTCCAAGAGACTTGAAATTTTTCAACCTCCTCCTCTATGTTTTTTCTTTCTTTTTTTTTTTTTTTTTTTTAAGGATTAATCCACTTTCCTTTCTTTGTGACATTGTTGTAAAGGACTGAAAAAGAGGGAGCTAACCATGATTTCTCAGAGACCCAAGTTTCACACACCCTAACCTGATAGTGCCTTTCTCCCAATAATCAAGCCTAGACATTTCAACTATACCCCAAATCCAGAATATAAAAGATGTATCAGAAAGAGAAGAAAGAGAAAACTTTTAGGGAAACTCTTTAAACAATCTCAGAACTCCTTAAAAAATTATTTTTTCTCCCAGAAAAATCACTAAAGAAATAGATCTTTTCTGCTTGCTAGATGACATTATAAAAAGGAGAGTTATTTCCTTTCAACTCAATACTCTGGGCTGATCCCATGTCTTTGGGAGCTTCTTAGTCTCTGAACTCAACAGCAGTTCAAATTCTGATGTGAGAACTAGAGTCTTTTCCTGGGGAGATTGGAGGACTTTGAGTGACATTCTGTTTTTGAAAGTGGGAGCTGGGACCAGAGGTAGTGTGAGTTTCAAAGTGATAGGAGCAGAGCCAAACAAGTAGGTTCAGGTTATCAGAGAAGAACCTGATGTTTCCCTAACACATAAGCTTAGTGTTCCAGAACCAAGACTGAGGAAAGTAAAATCAAATGGTGACCTTTCTACATAGTTCTAGTCCCCAAGATAAATTTAACTGGAGTCTTGATACTTGCGGGAAACCATTAAAATGTACATTGCTAAGCCAGTGGAAACCTCTTCACTTACTGATGCAGGTGTCACTTCATTTTACAGTAGTGCTGAAATATGAAAGCTGGTCAGGATTGGAAGAGCTGGAATGACTCAGCTACTCCTATCATCCCAGCCCCAGTTTATCTTCAAGTGAACAATGACAAGTTGCACAAGGGGATTTGAAGTTTTTCTTTTGCTTTTGTGGTGATTCAAATGCTTAGTCAGGCAATAATGTTAATCCTAAACATGTTTATAGTTCTTCCCGTGTGCTAGGTATTCTTTTAGTCCCACTCATTGTATGAAATAAATCTTTTAGTCCTTGAACAACCAATTTTTATTTGGAGGAACAGGAAGCAATTTCTATTATAACCTCTACTTTAGAGATAAGGAAACTGAGACAGGAAAGGTTTAAATGTCTTATCTAAGGTATCATGGCCAGTCAGAGGGGGAGCCAGGATTTGAACCCATCACTGCAAGGAAGCAAGTTCCAGGAGGGCAGAGACTTTTGTCTCTTTAGACCACTGATATGTCCCAAGAGCCTAGCAATATTCTTGGCATAAAATAAAATAGAGTCCTAGAAAATATAAAACAATATAGATGTTTCAGAAAGAAAAAGCAGAGTAAATGGAAAGGACAAATTTATCAAGGAAATAGTACAAGAATATTTTCCAGAACTGAAGTACCTCCAATACAGAAAAAGGGAAGAGAAAAGGCCCAACAAGTCATTTCACTGTGGGCTTCAGAATACGAGCAATAAGGAAAAGATCCTGGAA